TCACAAAACCGGTTCAGCAAAAGAGGTTTGCCACATTGTTTATAAGCTGGCCCAAGATATTATCCACAGGCGATGTGGGATTTATTTCCAACATTTCTCCTGTCTCTCTGTTTCTTCCTGTGTGTTTTGTGTGTGTTCTAACTGACTTAACACACCACACAAACACTCTTATTTGTTTTGGGCTTTTATCAAAACCTAAGCCCACATAAGTGGACTTAAACCCAACAAGAATGTGTGGTTGAAAATGAATTTTGAAGAAATGAGTTTTTGAAAAAATGGAGCAAAACATGACTTTATTTGCTGATCATATTTTAAACTATAATAAATTAATACAAAAGTACGCCAAAATATTTTCGTATCCTCAAAGCACGCAAATATCATCAAAGACGAGATTCGCCCTTCTGTAGCAAAAAGACTTGAGCTGAGGAGTTAGATTCTCAAAGTTCATCACCTCTGTATTCAGTATCAGCCAAGGAAATGTCGAAATTGTGAAAGCATTGGTTTTTATCGATCCATGAATCTGTTTTGCTTGTGATGGATACGGAAGAAATCCAATTCATGCGGCAGACACAATTGGTGTTCTGAAAGAATTGTTGCTAATACATACATCCATTGCCATGAATGCACTCAAGGCATTTAGATTCATAGCAATGGCCATTTTAGCACAAAGTCGAAGAGGGATTAAAGATATGAACATTGCAGAATGCTTTAATGCCGGTGCCTTGAAAGCAAAGGAGATTCCATTACAACGGCCTGAATTTCGAAATGCAAATTCGAAACGTATGCCTTTATCGAGTTTACAACGTTTTGATATTTTTAGTTCTGCGTGTATAAAGAATCACAGAATCCTAACTTCTGCATTACCAGAACAGTGTCAAACAAAGATGAATATTCAATCACTAGCTATTCGTTGCACCCTTTATCTGGGTTCAACCATTGAAACAGTCAAGCCATTAACAGAATAACTTCCACCGGTACTATTAGATGGCGAGGCCGTGTTCATCAAACTTCGACTGAAAGCAAATGCTGGCTGCTTGGGTGCCGGCAAAGGTGCAACTTCATTGGTGAGCATGGAAATAACAGTTGACATTGTAGGTCGATCATTTGGATTTTCTTGGACACACAGAAGTCCCAAGTTAATGTATCTTAACAATGAAGGTTTTGGAGAACCGAGTGCAGGGTCCAATAGTTTCACTCCTCTATTTGAAGTCCATAATTCCCATGTCTGTAAAATTTAACCATCACGTAAGTCTAACGGTCCAAGTCATAGTCCCTAAAGCAATAATAAATGAAAAAGCTATAAGAAAATAAGCAAATTGTATAAAGATTTGTAGTGATTCGCCCTCAATATGAGAATTGAGTACGTCCATTTGATGCTGTAAGGTTTCCCCTATAATGGACCCATAATATAGGTCGATTTGGACCGAAGAGTACAAGTATGATTAAGCTTCACACATTCCAATAATAAGCATATTCACAATATGATCCATTTTCAACATGTGTCACATTTCCTGTGTTTGTATGCTGATAACATGGTTCATTCTTGCTAGAGGTATAACATATTTCTATATTTCAAACAAACAATGGAACTTTAAAACACAAGAAAGAAAATATGAAGTAGATACTTACATGTCCAAGAAGATTGAGGGAGTCTTTCCGATAAAAACCAGTGTTCTTCTTGCCACTTACAATTTCAAGAACCAATACTCCAAAACTGAACACGTCGGACTTGATGGAGAAAAGGCCTTCAATTGCGTACTCAGGAGCCATATAACCACTAATTAACAAGAAACAGAACCCATTCATAATGAAAATTATCCCAAAGAATAACTTACGCTTGCAATT